TAATAGTAGCATGTCTGACTAGCAAACAGAAGGTCCGGGTTTAATTCCCGTCCATTCCTTGACTTACTTTTGGCTTTTTTTGACTTCCATGTCCTGTTACTCATTCCCCTCCATAACATTATGTTTGCTTAAGTAAAACGGAGAGACATGGAAAGCTGAAACCTGGCATGGAGGTGCCTACCGAGACGATGAGTTCAGGAAAAATGCAAAATTTTAGATCCAAGCCCTGGGGGCATATTTTTGTGAGCCGACGTTTTCAAGTATTTTTTTTTGGCCTGGCGTATTGAGCTAGTGTGGAAAGATGAAACTTGGCACATAATTACCCATTAGGATGCTGGGCACAGAAAAATTCAAACTTTGGAAGTAAATGCCCTGGAGGCACAAATTTCAAAGGAATATGTATTCAACTAATTTTTTTGCATCAGTTAAACTGATGAACATGGAAAGCTGAAACTTTGCATGAATGTAACAACTGAGACAAGGAGTTAAATAAAAATGATAAGTCTTCATACATCCCATGGGGAAATTTTGTCGAGGTGCGATGTTTTGGAAAAAAAATTGTCGTGGCGAATTGGATAGAAATGGAAAGGTGAAACTTGGCACAGGTATGAGTGACATGATATTTCTGAGCTGAGGGATTATTCAGCTTTCATGGTGCATCCCCTCCGGGCATAGCGTTAGGGTGGGTCGGCTTTTCCAAGCATGTTTTCTCACCAGCGAAATGGGCAAACGCATAATATTGAAACGTTGTGGGCATGTAGTTCACTAAGGATGGATTTCAGTAAGAAAAAATGGTACATTTCTGTTAAAACGGCTCAAGGCGCATATTTTGCAAAAGGCGTATTTTCACGAACTTTCTGATCCAGCAAAACAGAGGGCGCATGAAAGTTAGAAAACTTGGCAAATAAGTACATGATGGATAGCTGCGTAAAGAAAAAATTCTACTTTTCTAATATCATATTTATAGACGATCGTGACTGACTGACGCTAATTCAAAAAGGTGAAACGTATAAGGCTGAAACTGGATGGCATGGCGTTCCCTGAGTCTCCATTTTAGAAGAAAAATTTTTTTCGCTGAAACCCTTCAGTGCTCTTTTTTTAAAGTCCCACTTTCCTGAATTTTTTTTTGATCCAACGAAACAGAGACAGAAAATTTAAACTTCCCTTAGAAGTACCTGTTTGATTGCTGAGTACAGGAACAATTCTACATTTGAAATATATCCCCTTAGCGTAGTGTATAGGAGGGAAGTATTTCAAAATGTATTCTCCACACTTACTAAAAGGGACACAAGAAAAGATTTAAAGTTAGGCACCTATAGAATCATAGATGTAACGAGTTTGATAAAAATCAAGACTTTCGACCCCAAATGTCACGTATTTCAATTGGGACGTACTTCAAATACGTGTTTGTCATTTCGCAAAAAATTCTCAAACCTTGGAGCTACCTGCAGTATACCTCCGCTGTTATGGTTTCATTGGGCTGCAACAGTTCAAAATAAACAACGCCAAGAATATCCCACCAAACGCACAACAAAACCTTCCTGGGGTGAAGACCTCTTTTTGCCTGTGGTACAACACATGTGGAACCCACTTTCCAAGTTTTGACACTTTTCCTAGCCGTCGCAAGTGGCGGTGAACGGTGGAATGGGTGGAATTGAGCTTCTTAGCAAGTTCTTCAACAGTTACAGCAGGATCTTCATCAAGTGTAGCCACCAGCAGTTCATCATCAAACTCAATAGGTCGGCCTGAACGTGCTTCATCAGTTAAGCTGTAGTCACCAGACCTGAATTTCTGGAACCACCTTTGGCATTTCCTCGTATACAGAGCTTCCTCACCATAAACATTTTGAATGTTTTTCGTGGCTGCTGTCACGTTATTCCCTTTCTTAAATTCATCAAGCATTATATGCCTAATCGGTTTTTCTGACACCTCCATCTTGCCTTTAGTGTCCAAGAAAAACGGAGCACTGTTAAATCGTGAAAACCTGCACGTATATTGACGACTAACCCCTTCACAAGTTAGCATAGAAATATTCCATGGGATGTTCGCAGATACATGTGTAAAGAAGACACAAGTAAGACCATGCCAGAAAACGACATTAGTTATGGGATGACCTGATAATATAATATCATGTCTCTTAATATAATGTGACTTATTCGTGTCCCAAGTTTCACCTTTCCATTTCTGTCCAATTCGCCAAGACAAATTTTTTTTCTTCAAAACATTGCCCCTCGAAAAAATTCCCCCAGGGGATGTATCGAGACTTCACATTTTTATTTAACTCCTTGTCTCAGTAGTCACATTCATGAAAAGTTTCAGCTTTCCATATTCATTAGTTTAACTGATGCAAACAAATTATTTGAAGACATCTCCCTTTGAAATTTGTGCCCCAGGGCATTTACTTCCAAGGTCTGAATTTTTCTGCAGCATCCCAAAAGGAAGTTATGTACCAAGTTTCATATTTCCACACTAGGTCAATACGCCAGGACAAAAAAAATACTTGAAAACGTCGGCCCCAAAAACCTCCCCCCAGGGCATGGATCTAAAATTTTCCATTTTTCCTGAACTTATCGTCTCGGTAAGCACGCCCAGGCCAGGTTTCAACTTTCCATGTCTCTCCATTTTACACAAGCAAAAAGGGAAGTAATGGAGGTGGAATGATTAACGGGACATGGAAGGCAAAATAATCGTAATGAAAACCAAGAAATGGCTGGAAATTGAACCCGGACCTTCTGCTTTCTGGTCTGATGTGCCGCCACTACACCATCGAACCCGAAACAACCAGTCATCTATCTCAATGCCATCCTCATCCGTCAAAATATATATCAAAATAAAAAAGCATCCCCCCCCCGAAATGTGTACCGCCAGGGCATGTACCGCCAAAGTCGGACTTTTTCTGAACTCTGCATCCCAAAATATACATATGTACCAAGTTTCAGATTTCTTGCCTTTCTAGAACATGGTTAGAATTTGCGTCAGTCAGTCAAATCCGACTTCGGAGGTATGTGCCGAGGGGGGACACATTTTGGGGGAGAAGTGTTTAAATATATATTGTGACGGATGAGGATGGCATCGAGAGGCTTAAGTGGATGTCCCTGGTTCGGTGGTGTAGTGGTACCACACTTGACCGGCAAACACGAGGCCCGGTTTAAATTCTTGTCCATTCCTTAGCTCTTTTTTCGGCCTTTCATGCCTTCCAAATCCCGTTACTCATTCCCCATTCCGCAACAAAACCTTTGCTTGAGTAAAACGGAGAGACATGGAAAGCTTAAACTTCGCATGGACGGGCTTACCGAGACGATGGGTTCAGGAAAAATGAAAAATTTTAGAACCATGCCCATCTTTTTGGGGGCCGACGTTTTCAAGTAACATTTTTGTCTGGGCGTTTTGAGCTAGTGCGGAAAGATGAAACTTGGTACATAAATACCTATTTGGAGGGCACGTGCAGAATATTCAAACTTTGGAAGTAAATGCCCTGGGGTCACAAATTTCAAATGGAGATGTTTTCAACTAATTTTTTTGCATCCGTTAAACTGATGAACATGGAAAGCTGAAACTTTTTATGAATGTGACTACTGAGACAAAGAGTTAAAGAAATATGTCAAGTCTCGATACATCCCCTGGGGGAATTTGTTCGTTCTGTTTATTAATTAAAATAAAAATTAAATAATTATGTTTATTTAAATGGTTTCTAGGTAACAGATATTAGGTGAACAATACCTGAATATAAACCAGAGGGGAGGGGTGGCGGTGGGATGACAGACAGCCCACAATCTCCAATTATTACTTCAAGGGTTTACTGAATATCCAGCGTCATCTCCAGGGCTTCTCCCCAATATCCTTCAATCCGACTCACTGACTTGACCTTTTATTTTGTTGTGTTGGACATACGCATTTTTTTTTACAGTGATTTCATCCTCGTTATATAAAAGTTTCTCCTACAGTCAATCCATTCTCACCCACCTGTCCAGCGAATGAGTTCATTTGGCTGTTGGAAGCGTTTAGTTTGTCGGGCATCTTCACGTTGTATTTTTGGGACATTCGTAGATGACAGTGAAGAGATAGTACCAGTGCGGTTCTTTTCTCCCCATGCCTAGTAATGGGACATTTCTCCAAGGTTTTCATTAATTGCATCCTACTACTGTGCCTGGGAACGATCCTCGGTTTCTTCCTCATCTCGTACCAGCTCGATAACGATCAAGTGGAAAGCGCGAATGGATACTTCAAAACACGGTATTTCTTCTTCCGGGACTGGATTTCCTCATTAACAGGTGAGAAATCGAACTCGAGTTCCACAGCTAATGTAGGAAGAGGCCGCGCCACTATCGTGGGTTGCTCTACTCCCATTCCTCTTTTTACATTATAAAGGAACTATAGTGTCTCTCGTTGGAAGGCTAACAATGCGCTAAAGTAAAATCGAAGCCAAAAATATGCTTAGATTCTCTAATATGCAAAAATAAATCCTTTCGTTGTTGGCAGAGGTGCAGGTGGAGAAATGGAACGAAGAGGAGCTGCGTGCGAGAATCGTGGAGAATAAAGAAATAATTTGGGGGAATGATTCCCGGCTTCTGCAATACATCAGGGACCATGTTCTCATTCCACCTTCATCCAGGGATGTCCCTTATGACCTTGACGATCCCAAAAAGCTTCACTACTCCCAGACAGGCGACCAAACTCGTTACCTCAAGAAATCATTTGAAAACTTTGTAAGTTCTTTCATCACAGAGACCTAAGGATGTTGTATTTCACCCCACATGAACCATGAATATCTGCTTTAAAGAAAAAGCTCTAACGTTTTCTGTGGGAGAAACACAGCTTCATAAATGCAAAATATAATATTGTACATTGGCTATGTGATCGACATTGGACGGCACAAAGTGTTGTGATGCATGCCTGTTTTTTTCAGGAGTCATGCTCTGCCCATTTACACTACTTAAATGTGGATCTTTCCACCTTAAGTGAGGTGGAATGTGTGCTCGACTGTGCCATGTCTCGATATCTGTGCTCGACCATCAGAGAGTTCAGTGACATTTAGCACACGGTCGGATTATTTTGAGAATAACCAACATACAAAATACATATATCTGCACTTCAAGCGAAGGCCGAGAGAAGTGAATATTAATTTGGTCATGAGGCGCAACATGGCCCCCACCCCCCAGATGCTAACTTCTTGGCTAAATGGTTATTATAATGTCGTAATCCAATTTTTTGTTAGTCTTAACTTTTTAAGGGATAATTGAATGTAGTTGATACTTGACAGAAAGGTTCACGAGACTTAGAGGTATTTCACATACCGCAAGGTGGCCTCTGTGGTCGACAGGAGGACCCCCCTATATTCATGCTAGGCCATATTTTCAGTAGTGAAAAAAATACAGGCACATGATTCAAGATTCAAGATAGTGATATCAGGAGGCGATTTCGCCCATTTCGATATCACGTGTCGAGGTCGAGCGTTTCTTAATTTTAGGGTAGGCTAAAGCTATATATTTTTGTATTTTTGTTTTGCTTTGTTTTTTTTTCATTATTTGACTATCCTAGTTGCCTACTGTCTAGTACCTAACGTCAACATTGCCCCAACCTTTTTGCCTGTCCATGAAAGCATCTAGTTTCTTCTTCAAGATGGTCACAGAAGGGGCACTACTTCCTCATCTAACGCATTTCACGCTTTCACCACTCTGTAAGTAAAGAATTCTTGTCTCGACCTGAGCCGCACCTGCAGTTTGCGCAACTTAAGTTGGTTACCTCTCGTTCTCCTGCTTTCACCAAACTGGAAAAACCTACCATACTCCACATGAGCCTCTCTGCTAATTATCAATTGCATTTGAGACCCCTTTCGAAAAATTTAGTCCTAAAGCTACTTTCAAAATATGAATTTGGTCAAAGTCGGTTTGGGGCCACAACTGGAGCAAACTACACTACAAGATGGGCCATAAATATTCATGCCAAATCGTAGTCTTGTATTTCCTGTACTAATAACTTCTCATGAAATCAGTTGAATCTCAACAATACTCAAGGGCACAGAGTAACTGTTCACAAAATATGTTCGATGTGTCCCAGTTCGTCTTCGCGGCAACCTGGAATCTTTGAGTCCGTCAGTCGATCGCACCGGACGGACATGGTTTCCCTCCTCTTTCGTCATGAACCTTGATGGGCTTAAGCTGCTCGATTTCGTTCATGGGCACTTGCTACCAGCAGACATCCCATACAGTAATCGGTTTGGTTATGGTCAGAGTTGTATGGGAGGCATTCGTATTCTTTCATTTTATTCTGGCTCATGATCAGTCAGACAATATTTTGAACCTGAAGCCATTTATAAAGGTAGAATGATTCAGGTCAAAATAGTCAAGGTTCACCAGCAAAGAGACACATTGAGGTACAAAACAACTTTTCACTTGCTATTTTTAGGCTTATAGAAATGGAAAAGTTACAAGTGGTGTGAATTATTTATGGCCCACCCTGTAATTAAATTTTGAAATGATGGAGAATTGGCCATTACTTTATTTGAGGTGCAATTATCCACCAGTAAACATTGTGACGGGACTATCCAAGACTAAGAAAATTGTTCTGAAACAATTATCTCAGCCCTTTGTATAAGTACAGTATCAAGAGTTATCGAATCTAATCATTCTATCTCGAATATATTAATCTTACTTTCTGCCATAGAAAACGGTATGGCGTTTTTTTTACTCGCCCTATTTATTTTCAGATCGGAGGATTCTTCATCGAAGCAGGAGCCTATGGTGGGGAGCGTTTTTCTAATACCCTCTGGCTCGAAAAGGAAAAAAATTGGACTGGTCTTCTCATTGAACCAGAATCTAACAATTTTGAGACTTTGAAACGAAAGCAGAGAAAATCGTGGCTGGCGCATTCCTGCCTCAGTCCCAACCCTTATCCCCAAATGGTGAGTCTTGAGAGGATTATACTTTTCTTGTCTCCACATTCCCCTTGCATTTTCCTATATCTCGTTGACATGCATGCACAGATGTCCCTTCGTGGGTCGGGATCGATGGGGAAGATCTTACCTTACGCAGAGGAACATGGACAAGCGCAGCAGCTTATCTGTTTTCCATTGGAATCGTTTCTAGGAGCCATTGGCCAAACAAAGATAGACTTTTTCAGCCTGGATGTAGAGGGATTGGATTATCCTATTCTGACTACCATTCCTTTTGACGTTATCGATATTCAGGTATGTCACATGAATAAGAGCGAACTCGTATCAAGTGGTGAGGATCATACCTCGTATTGTTCAATGTCCAAAGCTAAAAGTTGGGAATTTATGAACATCATCGATGATTGCCACAGTAAAACAAATGATATAATAAGTGCGTAGAGTCCTTAATAATTGATGATGCTAAATGACATGAATGTTCCGTAGCCAACAAATTCTGAAATTTGGACAATATAATTCTCACCCGACTATATAACAAACTCTTTCCACAGTTTTCATCTTGTTCAAGGTATTACTTGCTCTTCCCCCCCCCCCCCACTCACCCGACAAAAAGGTTCTGATGGTGGAAACCAACAAAGGAAAGAGGAATGAGATCCTGAAGTTCATGAAAGACAAGAAGTATCGGCATGTGGAAAAGATCAGTTACGACGACATTTTCGAGAAACCATGAATTCCGTGTAAGTGATCCGTGTGCATCTGTCAACAATAGCCAACATCCAACCGTGGTGGTAACTGCGAATTATTCATAGAGTCGATGTGCAAATTTTCGTTCAAGGTGCTGCATGGGGGTTCTCGAAAGTGGCGGTGTCGATTTATTGGGTCATCATTCCAATCTTCCCCTTCCTTGTTAATATTTATATATTTGTTGGTGAACAGCTGGTGGAGCAGCATTTCTGCATATGTTGAACCCTGCGGAGAAAAAGCGTTTGATAGAAGAAAAATAAGTGACAATCGGAGCACTTTCTTTGGCCGACTTGCACCTTGGCCATCATCTGATAATATTATCCCCCCTTACCCACACCCTCATGCAGAACTCATTGGGAGAAGACTGAGACGTCATTCAAAATTTTCTTTGCCTCATCTTACCCATTCCAACTGTATCACTATAGATATTTAAATTGATAGTCGTTGGTCCATTATTTTCCTGAACCCTGCTTCATCAGTTGAGCTTGCAAATTTCTCGAGGAAAGATCTATCCAACGTCATCATGAAGAGGCGAGAAGTCCAGAAACATAGAATTAGTTCTGTTGATCTAGAAATTCCCAATTATTCACGATCCAACTAACAGGGACGATGTGGATTTGGCATAGCTTCCTATGAGCAAGGAGGTGATGAACCAGATGAGAATTCTTGATTTGTAGGTTACAGTTTTTTTTTATTTTCCAAGATATTTATTGGACGAACGCATACTCTTGCATATTGACAATCGAGTTCACCTCGATTGTCAATATGCAATTGGCCTCAGGAACTATTGGCACAGTGCAACACAGTCTGCCACGCACTGTCTTTTCGTAATTTTTGGAACAACCGGCGGAAGAACCCGTATGCATGACATTGTGTACATACTGTACAGGTATTGGGGTGCATCCAGTGGCGGTGTTGGCATTGAAATTTCCCTTTCCTAGTAAACTTCCAAAGTTTACAATTTTTTATATCCAAGTTCAAGTTCTCGACTAGCACGAATTTCGCACTCAAGTTCCTTAGCTTTGGTTTAAACGGGTTTCATAAAAGTTCCTCCAATGTGCGGCTAGATGTTTGTAACACGCACCGTACGGATTTCATACATGTCTCACCACTGTGCGGCCAGCCTAACACGTAAATCAAGCACGTACACATGTATCAGTGTTGAGATTAAGGGATCCCAAACGGCCAACATCATAAAGAAGTAGCTCATTTACGTCGGCCATCGTGCCTGGCAGAGTGAAGACCACCGCCCCTGCGTTTGAGCATATTACTACTCATTCTAAGTAGCGTACACTGAGTAATTAAAACGGATATGCATTTGCGTGATATGTGCGTCAGTTGGGATTCAGAATGCTGATAGCCCCAGAAATAAAGGTGAACACAAAAGCGGATAAAGTATATTTTCCAGCATGACCACAAATGCAAAACCTGCAGTATTTTCAGGAAGTGTGTCACCCTCCTGTGCCTAGGACTTGCATTCTGTTTCCGCATCTTCATGTATCATTCTGATGTGACGAATCCACAAAACGGGGATTCCAATCACATGATGTCTCATTCCTAGATCGAATTTCCTCGTTGCTTAGTGAGAATCGCGAAATAGACTGCAAATACCTCTTCAAAGAAATCAGTAAATCTTGAATGAGATTCGAGTCTTGATGGATCAATTGAGTGGGTTGGGTGAACGTTTGGCTGGGGGTAAAGGAACCCAATCCATCCAAACTTGGTTTTTCAATGCCGCTCGTATTTCGTTGTCATTTGTTTAGTAGTAATAAATGCCTTTACACGTGCTAGCTCCTCTGCATCTATATCATTGCACCTCGTGGAACTCTTTGTTGCCTGACGACACGTAAATGTCGATGACACAATTAGGCCTGCCTTATTTGTACGTATTTGGATGGCATTCATCGTTTCACGATACCTTAAAGGATGAATGAGGAAAAAGAATTAACAAAATGAAGAAGTTACGACAGCCATCATGGTAGTTTTTAATTTTGGGAAAGGCTGAAGAAAATAAAACCAAAGACCAGATGGACTTTCAGATCGAATCCAGAGTGCCTCTATACTATTTAAATATACTTGCTGGAGGTCCAAACCTAAATTTTGAAGGTAGAAAACTCCCTATATTTACTCCTCATCTGTTATCAACAGAAGTCTGCAGAGGCCGCTGAACCAGGGAGAAGAAAGTTTCTCCCTGGATTCATGATTATCGCTGCTGTGGGCTCCAGAGGCAAACTGGATCTTCAAAAGATTGACAAAAAGGTCAAAATCAATTCCAAGTACTATCAAGAACAAGTACTGCGGCCTAAGTTTGAAGAAAAAATCCCTCGCCTTCTCGGGAAAGCATCCAAGCAAGTGAGCAGGAACAGGAAGGAAGGTGATGGATGGATAAAGGGATACACAACCTTGCACACTCAAGGGATATTGCACCGATGCTGTTAATGGTTGCAATTAGAACAATAGGACTATTCCATATTTAATGGGAACCAGCAACACTTGCCATTGGAAGAAAAGACAGGATTGTGACAGTAAAATTGTCAATTTTTGTGACTCAAGTTATACGTGAAACATTATTCACATTCAGCACTTCACAGAACATTATTTTGCATAGGTTTGCTTCCGGCAAAGGACTCAGACGACTCCTTTGCCAGGTCAAATATAACATTTCGAATCTCGCTTAGATTTTAATCTCTCGCCTAAGTGAAATCTTCAATAAAGCATCCAAAACAGGGTATAATGTGAAATGTCGAGATATGGCCATATATTATATTAAAATATATTAAAAACGGCGATAATACATGACATTGTATCGCGAATGCTATACTCCATATTGACAAGAGGTGACCTTTGCTTCAATAGGACGCGAACACGCCACTCAACGACGAACGAAGAGGAGAGAAAAAAAAGTTTAAGCACAGTTCGTGGATCGAGGACACCGGTTCTCATAACCATCATCTAATTAACCATATATAGATCGAGAGAGATTGGTAGAGTATGGTTCTAATAAATGAAGGCAAGACCGGACTTCGAAAGAGAATGAAATATGGTTCCAAGAAAGGCGTTCCATATTCGAGTTAAATGATGATACTTTGCAGGTGGCATATGGCACCATAATGCAGTTCGAGGTTTCTTGCCATCTCGTTCATTGTGCTTGGAAAGGCCGAAGATCTCATCCACTTTTCCAGTGGTACTTCCACAAATAAGTATGAGGTAATTCGGAAGCTATTTTTCAACGCTTGACGCTTTCTTAAACTCATTTATTAGTATTATTCTATGGTCTTCGAGACATCTCGTCGATAACATGTAACGTTATACCGATTAGAGATCTATTTCGTGTTTCATGAACCATTTCAGTGCGAATGAAGAACATTAGAGTTCCTTGAGCCGTCTCGACGAGTTCTAAGGAGGACCTCTTGGAAGCATGGAATGCCACGTGGGCGCAATCCTGTGAATTCGGGGATGTCCGAATGAGAACTCTCCACATCCCACCAAATCGATCGGCCACTGCTGGCCACCATTTCAATCTCGGCTCATCAAATGAACTCGACACCAAAATACTTAATGCATTAAAAGAGAGATGATCCTGACACCGATACTAAGGCCGAATAAGTCTTAAACCTGGCATAACAAATGCACGATATCCGGCAACACGAGAGGATTGGACCGAAGCCATCACGCTAAGCCCATATGAACAACAGCTAATTTAATTTTTTACATGGCAAAATGGTGCACTGGAAGCGACGAAAAGGACACTTTTCGTCACCGATAAGTCAAAATCTTTCGTATGGTTCGTCTCTTTCCTCCGGAAACTCCCCCGGAATATGGGGGGGGGGGGGGGGGGTAAAAATATTTTAAAAAATACCGAAATAAAATTCACGTCTTCCAAAAGCGAGTTTAAGTGTTCTCCACAACCCTCAGGAAATTAGGCTTCAAATTTGCTGGAACTAATTTGTGCTAAGAGAGGAAGCACCACGCCAAACTGCGTTCTTGTTAATGCTCTCAGAGAGGAATACGAGGAGGTTAAATTTAGTTGCCGGAAGGGGTTGAATAAAGGTAATAGGCGCTCCCAAACCTTATTCATTCGCACGGGCATTTTCAAAAACAAAATATCCAATATCCATCTGGATTAGGTTGTACATGCATAAATAAATCACCTGTATCGTAGTGGTGTAGTGGGTTCACAGAGACTACCTTAACACATTGAGGACCGGACGGAATTGTGTTACCATACGGTTCACGGGCATTTTTAGCAATCTGAACTGCAAAACGCACTGTAGCAAACTGAAAAGGTTTTAACTCCTAAAGTTCTAAATTTTTCTCAAATCTAAGAGCTTCAAAACTTGAAGCTTCCTTATCAAGGGCATATGTTCCATGATTTCGAAAACCCCCCAACATATGTAAAAACATGCTTGTTTTTTCTTCATACGCAAAATCCGTGTTTATACGGGTCCCATCCTTGACGTACGGATCTGAAAACCAGTGTAAACACAAGGCCCGTCCTCAATGTGTTAAATGAGATTGCAACTTTAGGGTCTCTCAAAAATATCATCGATACTTATAGCCTTCGCATGTCGGTACTTCTTCTCAGTCATGAATTTCAAGATCTTCTTTCTTGTACCTTTGTTGGATTCCACCATCAAGACCTTGGTTACGGAAAAAATAGATCCATCCCATAGAGAGGTGAAAGAGAAATATATATTCGAACAGAATACTCTTGATGAGGTTCCATACCTTGACGTTGAGGACATCCCAGGGGATGCTTGTGAGAACGTCATAATCCAGTCCTTCAATGTCCAGACTGAAAAAATCTATCTTCAACTGGCCGATTGCTCTGAGGAGTGATTCCAATGGGAAACAGATCAATTGCTGCCCGTTACGGTCTCTCTGGTTCTCGGACGTCATCTTCCCCCCTGTACCTCCTCCTTCCAAAGACATCTAGATGCACAATAAATAATACCTCAACAGAAATGTACAGGAAGGGTAGCTCAT